TTTGGGTGATCACACCAAGCTATGAGTCTCGTTCTGGTGGACCTGTAAAGCAAGAACTCACCTCCCATACTGGTCCAACCTCCCTAGCTGTAAGTATCTCAAAATTATCATTATGATCATATTATACTACTACAATGCCTCTCAGAACACTGGTTGTTTTCTTATGCTATCATTGTCTAGGTGTTTGTAAGTGGACATTATTCTGGTAGAGATTTAAACGTGCATTTCAGAGATGGCAAGCCCTGGAAAAAGGTTTTTGGGCCAGTGTTTATCTATCTAAATTCGGGTATGCGTGATGATGACCGCCAAGCTCTCTGGCAAGATGCTAAAGAACAGGTATTTTCTTGAAAATTTCGCTTGAGGAACTCTTACAATACCATTATTATCTGGAACACAAACACTCACTAATCGCTACGATTTTAACTTCATGACCCCTATAGTACAATATTGTCTGCTTTTTAAAAAGCTCAAACTCATCAGTCACTTCACACAAACTTCGAATATAGCTTGGGTCATGACAATTACTACTTATGACTTATCAGATGTTGGTAGAAACCCAAAGCTGGCCATACAATTTTCCCCTTTCAAAAGATTTTCCTCATGCTGATCAGCGGGGTACAGTCAGTGGCCGATTAATGGTCCAAGACAAGTACATCCCTAACCTACCCTCATTGTTTTTCTGTCTAAACTATGAACTTCAAATGACATTGAGGGCGTTTAATCTTCTTGTTTTAGGTACGTTAGTAGAGAGTTTATTCCTGCGAGGTCCGCTTATGTCGGGCTTGCTCCACCGGGAGAACTGGGATCCTGGCAGAGAGACACCCAGGTTATCTGCGGTGCAATTTATGTCAACTTTCTGATGTAACGTTAAATTTAAAAAGGCTCTAATCTGCAGTGAATTTTGCTGTTTTATGTTATTTTCAGGGCTATCAATTTTGGAATCAAACTGATGATGAGGGGAACTTCCTGATTAGAGGTGTAAGAGCTGGGAATTATAACTTGTATGCTTGGGTTGATGGTGTCATTGGTGATTACAAATATGAAACTGATATGCAGATCACACCAGGTATTAACTCATAAGGTATTCTCACTAAATTTAGTGAAAAATCATGACAATATTTTACGAAAAATGCTATTTTGATATAATTTATTGACATAACAGTGCAATTATTAAATTGATAGCGGGTTCCAATTAATATTGGGTCAATTGTTAATATAGTGATAATAATTCAATAGATCAACAAATTAATTAACAAATTTGGTTCAAATAGCATTACTCAAATCTTACATGTTGGCATATACAATAAATTTTTTCTTTTTTTATCTGTGAAAGGCAATCATATACCATATATAAGGATCTAATACATTTGCTTTAGGGGCATACTGTAGATTATATTTCAATGATAAGGATCTAATACATTTACTTTAAGGGCATACTATAGATTATATTTCAATGATTTGACCTAATAACATTACCTCCCAACATTTTACAAACCTACACATAACATCTGTGGTTTTGGACTAAATATATTTTTTGTAATTCCACGAAAATTAACAATATCCACCGTTCAAAGTCAATATTATTAATTTTAACAAGTATGTTCAAATAAGTTTCATACCCTTGCACAGATTTTCCAATGTGTATAGAACTTTAATTTGCAAAAAAAAAAAACACAGAATTTTTTTTTAAAAAGATGAGGAATGGTATTATTGTCATTTCATACTAAATTGTTTACTCCATTCATAGTTGCACGTTTTGTCCACAACCACAAGGATCATATGAAGTTTCTAAAATATAAGGAGATAAAGTGTCAATGTCTCAAACCGCTTGGAGCTAGCATATAATTTTTACCATTATACAGTACGTGTGAAGTGGTTTATGTGTTGCATTATGAGCAGGAAGTGAAATCAGATTGGGTGATCTTGTGTATCATCCTCCAAGAAATGGTCCTACTCTATGGGAAATCGGCATTCCTGACCGCTCTGCTGCTGAGTTCTTCGTGCCTGAACCAGACCCAAAACTGAAGACTCGACTATCTCACAGCAATTCAGACAAGTATGAACTAAAAATCAGACTCGATCTCACTAAGTCAATATGTATGTCTCACAACTCACCATATTATCTTTTTGATGAACAGGTTTAGGCAATATGGATTGTGGACTCGGTACACAGATTTATATCCTTACCAGGATTTAGTCTACACCATTGGATCTAGCAATTACCAAACAGACTGGTTCTTTGCTCATGTGGCCAGGTTTTCAATGCTTTCTTTCTTTATTTATTTTTCATTGGCAAATTACAGTTTGATTCCCTCAAATATATCTCTTACTTTGCCCGCTCACCTATCACATTTCTCAGATTTTACCTTTTTTTTTTATTTTGGGAGGGGGAAGGGGAAGGAGAAGGGGAAGGGGAAGGAGAAGGGACGGGGGACTTGAACCCTTGATCTCAAGATGACAAAGTCTTTATAAGATAAAGAGTATCATTAGACCAAAGTCTCGTTTGTTAGATTTTACCTTTAACTATACTTATTCATCTCTTATATTTTCCCTCAACTATCTCATTTCTCATATTGCACCACTAATTATACTTATCAGTTTCACATCATCCCAAGTTTAGACAAACAAAACTGAGAATTACTACACGTGTGGACCATTTTTGTCCAAAACAAGAGTTTTGGGCCATCTTGAAACCAATTCAAGTAGCTAAGGGGTAATGTAAAAAAACTCAAAAGTTGACGGGAGAAGGGAAATAGAGTCATAGTTGAGGGGCCAAAGTGTGAATGTTCCCCTTTTTTTTCCAGGTTTTTGTGACTTGGTTTCTTGATTTTTGCTGTGCTGGTCCTAATGAATCTAAACTTAACATTGCAGGAGGGCAAATGACACTTATGAACCAACTACATGGCAAATAATATTCGATCTCGGAAACATTGACTATACTGCAAATTATACACTCCGAATAGCTTTGGCTTCAGCCAATGGGGCACATGTGAAAGTATGCAACCTATGTTTCCTTTATTCTACATTCTTTCTGTATTCTCTCTCTCTTTTGAACCACATAATATCCATCATTCGAAGTCAAAAATAAAGTGGAATTAAATCTCCACCCCACATATACAGTTGATCCCACTTGAGTACATAACTACTCATTAATCAATGGGAAAACTAAAAGAAAAATATAGTTATGATTATATAAAACAATTGAAACTGTTTATCAACACTTTTACACCAAATTAGGTAGTGAATTTTTTATCGGAATTATTCTTAACTACTTGTCATAGTTGCACTAACTATAGGTTCTTAGCTTCATATTCCTATCACTTCAACAGGTTATGTTGTTCGAGTCTATAGCTGACGGAAATAATTTCGTTTGTTTATGTTTTTTCAAGTAATTTCTCGGTTCCGTTGTTTTTTTAGTAATTTTTAAAGTAATTTCTCTTTTTTTGTACATATGTTTCTTTACTTTTTCCTTGTCCAAATTTACTCTCTTTCTTCCAAGCTTAATTGAATGCGTAATAGTATACCTATATATATTGTATTTGTATGCAATAAGATTCATATAGATCATTTTTATATATTTCTAAAATGAAATTGCATTTTTTTTGGGTAAAAAGCATTAGCAAATGATGAGTAAAATAAAATCAAAATATTTCCTCTAAATAGTGAAGTGTATAGTTTCTTAATTTTGGCTAATCAAAAATTTCCCTTGCATGTTCCAGGTTTGGATGAACAGAGACCCAAACACAACACGTCGTCTCTTTTCGACAAACCTTATAGGCCGGGAAAATTCGATTGCAAGGCATGGGATTCATGGGTTATACTGGCTATACAGTGTTGATATACCTGCCTCTCATCTTCAATCTGGAAGAAACACAATGTTTCTTCAAATGTCAAGTATGCCAAGCCCTTTCAATGGAGTCATGTATGACTACCTCCGTTTAGAAGGACCACCAGGAAGATCTTGAGATGGTGACCTAATCTATAGTTTTATTTTTGTTGTTTGCATAGAAGTATTAGGTTTTTGATTTATTTCCCTTCCACCCGGACCCAAAAAACGAGCTACGATTAAATTTGATTGCTTGTCTTATTTATCGTTTGCTTTAGTGGGTGGTTTATGTCTAATCCTTTCTACCTGACTTTTTATGTATTCATAAAAATTGAACAGTTACGTATGACTTGTATTCCAAGTCTATTTGGATTTTTTTTTAAGAAAATTTCATTGGCAGCCTCTACGTTGAGATTAATTGGCATGGGTATTTGTTTGAACAAAATCTCAAGACTTCTTATTCATCACGTTAATTTTATTGGGGCAAAAGGTTTTTTACTTCTTGTTTGGTTTGGATTTTTCCTTATTGTACAATTTCACACCAATTGGGAAAAGGTTATCAAGTCCCACACGTAATGGACATAGAGAAATCATTGACTTGGTCAAGGTTAACACAATTAAGTGTTATGAAGGTATAAGTATTATATTTGGTGATTAACAACGACACGAGAACTTTTCGTTTTGATAATTTGGGATTTGATCTATTTGTTTTGGATTTTTATCAAAAAAATTAATATTTGGTGATAAGAGAATTTTTAGCACTATTACTTTTGTTACAGTGTGATAAGGCAAATACGTTCTCTTGCCTTTGATTCAAAAACTTTTGTAATTTCTAACCTTTGATAGTTAAAAAACTTGCTTATGTGTTTCCTTTGTAGACGTAGACTTGTTTGTTGAACTGAATCACATCAATCCTGTGTGCTCTATTTTTTTATTTTATTGCATTATTATTTTGCTTGTGACTTTGGTTTATAGCAAAAATGATATCAGAGTTATTGGTTTCAGGATGACTACAACAAAATTCGAGATAAAAAATTTTAATGGTCAAAACAATTTTAATTTATGATAGATTAAGATGAAGACATTGCTTCACTAATAGAGTTTGAAAAATGCCATTGATGGATCTCTATCCAATGAGATAAACTAGACTAAAGTTGTTAATATTAAAAATAAAACACACAGTGTAATTCAGTTGTCTCTTGCCGATAAAGTTATTCATAAGGTCATCGATGAAAACAAAGTCGAAGGGTTATGAAAATTGAATTAATTGCTAATTTACCTACACCTAAAGCCTTTAAGGATGTTAGATCTTTTCTGGATCACGCTGGTTTTTATAAAAGGTTTATAAAAGACTTTATTTTTATATTTAAACCACTTTGACACCTCTTAAAGAAAGACACAGTTTTTGGATGGAATGAGTCGTGCCAAGAGGTTTTTGATAAGCTGAAAGACATGCTCATCACTGTTCTAATTATGCAACCTCCAAATTGGAGTCTTTCCTTTGAAATCATGTGTAACGCTAATAATTACGTCGTAAGGGCAGTTTTAGGGCAATGAAATGAGAAAAAGCTACATGTCATATATTATGCTAGTAGGATCTGAAATAATGCACATATGAATTATTCTACTACAGAAAAAGAATTATTAGCAGTAGTGTTTGCTCTAGACAAGTTTAGGTATTATTTAGTAGGATCCCCTATTGTTATTTTCGCAGACCATGCAACTCTTAAATATTTATTGACTAAGAAAGATGTTAAACCAAGACTGCTTAAGTAGATACTCCTACTCTAAGAATTTGACATAAAAATCAAAAATTAAAAATGAGTAGACAACGTAGTGACTGACCATTTGTCTAGACTTGTGAGCAATATGCAAATAGAGACAATGCCGATCAAGGATACATTTCCCAATAAACAATTGTTAACAGTTTCCTCAATACCTTGGTTTGCTGATATTTTGAATTTTCTTGTTACAGGTAATATGCCACCATCTTGGACTGCTTTGATAAAAAGAAATTTTTGATTGAAGTAAGAAATTTTTCTGGGATGATTCTTATCTTTTTAAATATTGTTCAGATCAAATTATCCGAAAATACATGCCAGCTGATGAGATAAGTATATAATATTTTATCTTTTTGTCACTCAAGAGCATGTGTGAAGGATCTACCTCCTTCCAAGAGCAATCCTCCCCATTACCGGGGATATCACGCTCTCCATTAAAAGATTTCGGCTAACCTGCGTATCAAACACCCACAGTAGCCTTTACCCCGATGTGGGACAGAGGTAAAGGCTACTGTGGGTGTTTGATCCGCAGGTTAGCCGAAATCCTTTGATGGAGAGCGGGATATCCCCGGTAATGGGGAGGTAGATCCTTCACATAAAAATGTGCTACTTGGGTACTGTTCTCATATGGTGCTTCGGCTTATATGGGGGTGGGGAGACGACTCTTTCCCCGATGTGGGACAGAGGTAAAGGCTATTGTTGGTGTTTGATCCGTAGGTTAACCGGAATCCTTTAATGGAGAACGGGATATCCCCGGTAATGGGGAGGATTGCTCTTGGAAGGAGGTATATCCCCGGTAATGAGGAGGTAGATCCTTCACAGCATGCGGGGGCCACTTTTCTATAAAGAAAACTACTACAAAGGTTCTACAGTGTGAATTTTATTGGCCAACGATTTTCAAAGAAGCATATAATTTATGTAAGGTTTGTGAGCATTAGTGGTGGTGGCGGCATCGACGGCGACGGTGACAGTGACGGCTACTGTGGAGGTGGTTGTGGTGGGGGCAGTGGTGGTGGTAGAGATAGTGGTGGAGCGGTTTCAAATACTATTTTTATTTTAAAATATTTATGAGAAATAATTTCTATAAGTAATTTTAAAAAATAACTCAAAACACATCCTTTGAAAGTCTATTTTTTTTATTAAATTTAGAGTGTTAATATTAGCCGTTAGATTAACTTTAAAGTAAAATTTAAAGCGATTTCAACCGCGAATAGCAAAAATCATTTTGTTTATCTTTTGAGATTTGAATTGTAAACTATTCTATTATATAGATAAAGTCTAAAAAAATTTTGAAGTCAAATACTACTTAAAAGAGTCTAAAAGAACTTAAAAGTCTATTAGCTATAAAAAAAAACATTACAAATTGGATGAAAGTAAATATGTGGAAATAATTATCTTTATAATAATAATTAATAATAAAATATAAAATTAAAATTTATTCACAGACTTTAACATTAATATATATATAATGCAATAGTCTCTCATCCAAATACGAGATTGATTCAAAATAATAGACTCAAAATTCTCTCTACCATCATCCAAACATGTTATAGTTAGGATAGAATAAAATGGGTAGACCAATTATTAGGGTACCAGGGATAGGGATGGGGGGAAGTCTCCTAGGTGGCTTGGGTCCCTCTCTCCCCTAGCATTCTTACGCTGGGCGTGTATTCAAACTCAGTTNGGACCCGGGATAGGGATGGGGGGAAGTCTCCTAGGTGACTTGGGTCCCTCTCTCCCCTAGCATTCTTACGCTGGGCGTGTATTCAAACTCAGTTAGTATTATAAAACTACTACAATAACATTGGAAGTAAAACACTGAATGACCAAGTTAAAATCAAACACATGCATGAAAAAACGGACCAAAAAAACACTATATAAACTCCAACCAACAATGGAATAGAACCACAAAAATCACAACTTTTTCTTCCAGAATAGTACGCAAAATTCTTGGACTGGTACATTCTTTATCATCTTCTTAAATACAAATTTATGGCTTTGTTTTGACCAAGTTAAATTACATGTTTTAATTTTTAGGTTTCGGTTTTGGTTTATGTAACATCTTGGTGGTGTATTTAGTTAATGAAAGGTGTTTAAGTATGCATGTGGGTTGTGGTTTTTTTTTATTTGGTTTACAGGTTTATTTTTTGTTGTGTTACAAGTTACAATATGGAGAAGTTGGGTTGCAAGAAGCAATGGCATTTGGTTTTTTGGTGCTTAGTACTTGTTCTTCCGTTGTTCTTGATTGCTGAATGCTCAGTGACTGAAAGAACCAGGTTTTTACTCATCTTTCACTATCTCTATATTTATAATCCTATGTACTTATACAAAGGCTGAGTCAAGATATATATGTATACTCGCACTCACCAACAATCATAGTTCACAGCATCCATCCATTGATATGGAGACAACTCCATACAAAATGAGCCTCATGTGACTCATTGGAGTGGTTCTAGACATCTCCGAGTCAACATTAAATTGTTTGATCATCATTGAATAACTTGAATCTCGTCATAATTAACCTCTTTTTCTATGCATTGCTTGTCCGAGGCCAATACCTTGGTCTTGAAAAAGGGTATAAGTACGGAACAAACATGGAAGAGAAAAAAAAACAGGTTGGAATTATTCTTAGGCCCATTGTTTATGGTTCAAACTTTAAACNCCATTGATATGGAGACAACTCCATACAAAATGAGCCTCATGTGACTCATTGGAGTGGTACTAGACATCTCCGAGTCAACATTAAATTGTTTGATCGTCATTGAATAACTTGAATTTCGTCATAATTAACCTCTTTTTCTATGCATTGCTTGTCCGAGGCCAATACCTTGGTCTTGAAAAGGGTATAAGTACGGAACAAACATGGAAGAGAAGAAAAAAACAGGTTGGAATTATTCTTAGGCCCATTGTTTATGGTTCAAACTTTAAACGGATGGACACTTGTTATTGTTTGAGACACATCACCCAACTTGCTAATTTAATCATTTATAACCATTGAATTTACCGTGGGCTTCAATATTTATTAAGGCTAACAAACTAATCCAATAATTGTGATGAATTAAGTCAGCAAATTATGTTTCCTTTGATGTTCACTTACCTGGTCTCAGCTGTATGTTGCAGTGTATGCCTTTTGCCCATAACCTCTCGGAGACCAAAGATCAGCTCTCTTTCTGTCCCTGAAATTAATGTAGATAACACAAATTTTAAATGTTTTTCCATCTTTGTTATAATATATATTAAAAAAAACCCAATGCACAAGACTCCAGTCACTTCTTTGTTACAATAAGCTTACGTTGCTAAAATTTTTATTCTAATTGCAGATGGAATCCGGCGAGCACCAGCGAACAACTGAGATCGTTTCCTCNATTCCAGTCACTTCTTTGTTACAATAAGCTTACGTTGCTAATATTTGTTCTAATTGCAGATGGAATCCGGCGAGCACCAGCGAACAACTGAGATCGTTTCCTCCGGTCAAACTTCATGGAAGACATGATACTCATGTAAAACTTCATTATCAACTTACTTACCACTTGGCAAATTAAAACTGGTCAATTCTTTTCTTTCTTCACGGCCTAACAAAAACAAAATAAAATTAGTCATGTTCTTAAAATCATCTTCTACCATAAGAAGAAAGAAAAATAGCTTATTTGAACAACTTATTTCTTCGATGTTAAAAAAAAACAGTTTATTTCTTCTACTCTTCCAAGTATCGGTAGTGATAGGTTTCTTTTTTTTTGCAGGTGGTGTTGGATAATGGCCTCGTGAAACTAACCTTGGGNCGTCTACCATAAGAAGAAAGAAAAATTGCTTATTTGAACAACTTATTTCTTCAATGTTAAAAAAAAACAGTTTATTTCTTCTACTCTTCAAAGTATCGGTAGTGATAGGTTTCTTTTTTTTTGCAGGTGGTGTTGGATAATGGCCTCGTGAAACTAACCTTGGGCAACCCGGGCGGTATGCTCACCAGCATAGAATACAATGGGATGGATAACATATTGGAACATCGAAATAAAGAAACAGACAGAGGGTATGTTTTTATCTTTGCTTTTAGTTGAATAATGTTGAATGGTTTGTTAGAGAAAGAAAATACTAGCCAGCGTTGAATATTGCTATTAGGAAAGAAAACAGTATTTTGGGGTGTGAGAAGAAAAATCTACCACCCCACACCCCAAAATACAGTTTTTCTTCTTTTTCAATGATTTTGTAATGGTTTTTATTAATGCATTAAACTCGAATAACTTGCAAGATCTTCATTCTATGTTATTGTTTGACTAAATTGTAATACTTATAGGTATTGGGATGTTATTTGGAGTGAGCCCGGAGAGCATGGCCACGGGAACATTTTGAGCGGGTAAGTTATGTCTATTCTCATCCTAATCAAGAATATTGCACCATATGCCATTTGCCAAACACTAAAAGAAAAGCAAAATAGCATGAGCCGAATATTTATGTCTAACTTCGTAAAGATATTTTTGATGGTGTTTATAGGCTACATGGGACAAGTTTTCAGGTTATTGGCGAAGATGACAATCAAATAGAGGTTTCATTTAGTCGAAGATGGAATCCTTCAGACAATAATAGTACAGTTCCTCTAAATTCGGACAAAAGGTCTGGTGTGATTTTCATAATTTATGATAAACAAATCGATCATACAAACCAAACTTTGTTGTTCCTTCAAGGACACCCAATAAAATTGGAATGAGTGAAGATGACACATACCAACTTACCCAAAAAAATGGATGACATACACAAGTGGTACGAAACTTTTGTTGATTTTCAACTTGCATACAGGTACATATTGAAGCGTGGATGCCCTGGTTTTTACACATATACGATATTGGAGCGCTTAGAAGGTTGGCGTGATATTAACCTCCCTGCAGTCAGATTGGCTTTCAAGCTTCAAGGAAGCAGGTAAAACATATGGACCACCATAAGATTTAGATTATGTTCACTTTCAATCTTCGCTTTTACGGGAAAAAAAAAATGGTTAAACAAGATTCTAACATATTTCATTATAATGTAACCAGAGTTTATATGAATTATACATTTATATATGTGCGGAAAACAAACACATACATTCCTAATCCTGATTTATGATTTATGACCACCCACAAAAAAAAAACACCTAGAAAAAATAATTAATGCCCACTAATCATCCATTAGCTGTTTCATACTCGTAAAATGTTTGTGAACTTACAGTGTAGCATGCTTCTAATTATTTTTAACTAAATATTTGATTGCAAAATTGTCATCTCTTCTTTCAGTGCTCATATGTATTTTGAATATTCAACTAAATTTTAAGCATCTCAAAATTATGACGATCACTTTGCCATTAGCATAGTTCTTGATCAAATTGTGTATAGATACATATAATGATCATATGTTGCACGATTAGGTTCCATTACATGGCTCTATCAGACGATAGGCAAAGAACCATGGCATCTCCCGAGGACCGTAGAGCGGGTAAAGTCCTGGGATACAAAGAAGCTGTTCTATTACCAGATTCAGTCAATCCAGCCATCAAAGGGGTATGTATTTTCTTGGCTATTATATAATTCATTGTTCTAGACCTAAATAGGAGGCAAAGCAAAGTTATGGGGAAAGATTTTCACTTCCCATAAGTTTTTATTTTTAAATTTGCATCTTTATTTCCCTTTCTTCAAAAAAATAAAAAATATATTTCATAATTTTTTCATCTATCTTACCAAACGAAAAAGAGATATTATTGTTTCTCTTTAGGGGATGAAAAATCATTTCTGACTATTTTTTCTTACTCTATCGCTGGCTCATATCAAACAGACAACTAAATGTAACACTTGTTCCATATTGTGATATGCAGGTCGATGACAAGTACCAATACTCATGCGACAATAAGGATAATCGGGTACACGGTTGGATAAGCTCCGACCCACAAGTAGGGTTTTGGGTGATCACACCAAGCTATGAGTATCGTTCTGCTGGACCTGTAAAGCAAGAACTCACCTCCCATACTGGTCCAACCTCCCTAGCTGTAAGTATCTCAAGAATTTTATCATTATGATCATATTATGCTACTACAATGCCTCTCAGAACAATGGTATAGTTTTCTAATTTGTTGTTTTCTTATGCTATCCATGTTCAGGTGTTTATAAGTGGCCATTATTCTGGGAAAGATTTAAACGTATTTTTCAGAGATGGCGAGCCCTGGAAAAAGGTTTTTGGGCCTGTGTTTGTCTATCTAAATTCGGGTTCGGGTGGTGATAACCACCAAACTCTTTGGCAAGATGCTAAAGAACAGGTATTTTTTTTCGGAAATTATGCATGATCTGCGACACAAACACTCGCTATTTTTAACTTCGTGACTCAAACTCATCAGTCACTTCACACAAACTTTATATATAGCTTGGGTCATGACAATTACTACTTGTGACTTATCAGATGTTGGTCGAAACCCAAAGTTGGCCATACAATTTTCCCCTTTCAAAAGATTTTCCTCATGCTCATCAACGGGGTACAGTCAGTGGTCGACTAATGGTCCGAGACAGGTACATTCCTAACATACCCTCATTGTTTTCTGTCTAAACTATGAACTTCAAATGATATTAAGGGCGTTTAATCTTCTTGTTTTAGGTACATTAGTAGAGAGCTTATTCCCGCAAGGTCCGCTTATGTTGGGCTTGCTCCACCGGGAGAACTAGGATCATGGCAGAAAGACACCAAGGTTATATCTGGTGCAATTTATGTCAATTTTTGATGTAATGTTGAGTTTAGAAAGTCTCTAACCTGCTGTGAANGACACCAAGGTTATATCTGGTGCAATTTATGTCAATTTTTGATGTAATGTTGAGTTTAGAAAGTCTCTAACCTGCTGTGAATTCTTCCCCTTTTATGTATTTTCAGGGCTATCAGTTTTGGAATCAAACTGATGATGAGGGGAACTTCCTGATTAGAGGTGTAAGAGCTGGGAATTATAACTTGTATGCTTGGGTTGATGGTGTCATTGGTGATTACAAATATGAAACTGATATTCAGATCACACCAGGTATTAACTCATAAGACAATTCTCACTTATTTTAGCTGAAAATCATGACAATATTTTACAAAAATTGCTATTTAGACCTAAATTTGTTGACATAATACATCAAAGTTATTGAATTGATAATGGATCTCAATTAATATTGGGGTCGACTGTTAATGCAATGTCAATAAATTAGATCAATGTCAAATTCAAATAGCATTACTCATATTTTACAAAGTTGGCATATACTTTTAAGTTTTTTTTTTTTTTGAAAAGCAAGCACATGCCATATAAGGATGTCATACATTACTTTAAGGGCATACTATGATTATATTTCAGTGATTTGACCTAATAATTACCTCTCCCTCCATTTTACAAACGTACACATAACCTAATGTAGTTTTGGACTAAATATAATTTTTGAAATTCTGCAAAAATTAAAAATATCCAATGTTAAAAGTCAATAGTTTAAATTAAAACAAATGTCCAAATGGGCTTCATACCCTTGCAANATTCTGCAAAAATTAAAAATATCCAATGTTAAAAGTCAATAGTTTAAATTAAAACAAATGTCCAAATGGGCTTCATACCCTTGCAATTATTTTATTGGTCCATTTTGCCTCCCTCTCAAATAAATATGTCTCTTTCTCTCGCTTCTATTTCTATACTCTACACAGATTTTCAAAGTTGTACGGAACTTTAATTTGCGAATAAAAGAACATGAATTTTTTTTGAAAAAGATGATGAATGGTATTATTTTCTTTTCATTATACATTGTTTGCTACATTCACAGTTGCTAACACTCTTTTCATGTGAAGTTTCTAAAATATGAGAGAAAGTGTCAATCTCTCAAACCNTGCTACATTCACAGTTGCTAACACTCTTTTCATGTGAAGTTTCTAAAATATGAGAGAAAGTGTCAATCTCTCAAACCACGAGGAGCTGCTAACATAAAATACAGTATGTGTGAAGTGGTTTATGTGTTTTGCATTTTGAGCAGGAAGTGAAATCAGACTGGCTGATCTTGTGTATCATCCTCCAAGAAATGGTCCTACTCTATGGGAAATCGGCATTCCTGATCGATCTGCTGCTGAGTTCTTCGTGCCCGACCCAGACCCGAAACTGAAGACCCGACTATCTCGCAGCAATTCAGACAAGTATGCACTAAAAATCAGTTACTCCTTGTGATTCAATCTCACTNAAGACCCGACTATCTCACAACAATTCAGACAAGTATGCACTAAAAATCAGTTACTCCTTGTGATTCAATCTCACTATGTATGTCTCACAACTCAACATATTATCTTTTTGATGAACAGGTTTAGGCAATATGGATTGTGGGCTCGGTACACAGATTTATATCCTGACCAGGATTTAGTCTACACCATTGGATCTAGCAATTACAAAAAAGACTGGTTCTTTGCTCATGTGAACAGGTTTTCTACTCTTTATTTATTTATTTTACTTGGGCAAATTACAGTTTGATTCCCTCAAATATATATGCCTCTATCTTACTTTGCCCACTCACCTACCACATTTCTCAGATTTTACCTTTAACTATACTTATTGGTCTCCAATTGCCCCCTCAAATATCACATTTCTCACATTACATCTCTAATTATACTTACTGGTTTCAGATTATCCAAAATTTAGACAATAAAAAACGAGTATTTTATAAACATGTGGACAGTTTTTGTCCAAAACAAGAGTTTTGGGGCCACAACTTGAGACCAATTCGAGTAGCTAAGGGGCAGTGTGAAAAAACTCAGAAGTTGACGGGAGAAGGGAAATCAGAGTCATAGTTGAGGGTTCAAAGTGTGAACGTTTCCCTTTTTTGTTCCCCAGTTTTTGTGACNAATGTGAAAAAACTCAGAAGTTGACGGGAGAAGGGAAATCAGAGTCTTAGTTGAGGGTTCAAAGTGTGAACGTTTCCCTTTTTTGTTCCCCAGTTTTTGTGACTTGGTTTCTTGATTTTTGCTGTGCTGGTTCTAATGAATCTAAACTTACATTGCAGGAGGGCAAATGACATTTATGAACCGACTACATGGCAAATAATATTCCATCTCGGAAACATTGAATATACTGGAACGTATACACTCCGAATAGCTTTGGCATCAGCCAATGGGGCTCATGTGAAAGTATGCAACCTATGTTTCTCTTATTCTACATTCTTTCTGTATTCTCTCCCTTTTTTCAACCATATCAGATCCATGATTCCAAGTTAAAAATAAACGGAACCAAATCTCCTCCCCAGTTATATAGTGGATCCCACTTAAATTTATTATAACTCATTAATCAATGAAAAAACTAAAAGAAATATATACTTGAGATTATCTTAAATTCATTGAAGCAGTTTATTTACACTCTTGCACTAGTGCCATTTTTAGGTAGTGATTTTTTTTATCTCAATTATTCTTAACTACTTGTCATAGTTGCACAAACTATTGATTCTTAGCGACCTATTTGTTGGGTCAAATCATTCCCATCTCTCAACAACTTTTATTGTTTGAGTCTACAGCAGTCAGAAATAGTTTCGCTTGTTTATGCTTTCAAGTAGTTTATGCTTCCAAGTACTTTCTCAGTGCTTTATTTTTTAGTACTTTTTAAAGTAATGTTTTTTTTTTTGTACATTTGTTTCTTTACTCTTTCTTTGTCCAAATTTATTCTCTTTCTTTCAAGCTTTATTGCATGCATGATAGTATACCATACCTATACATATTGTATTTTTATTAAAAAAATCATATAGATCACTTTTATAATACAATGATCACATATTTATCTATATCTAAGATGAAATTACATTTTTTGGGAAAAAAAAGCATTAACAAATGATGAATAATATAAAAATTAAATTCTTATATTTGTATATTTCCTCTGAATAGTGAAGTGCATAGTTTCTTAAACTTGGGTAATCAAAATTTTCCCATGCATTTTTCAGGTTTGGATGAACAGAGACCCGAACACAACACGTCGTCTCTTTTCGACGAGCCTTGTAGGCCGGGACAATGCGATTGCAAGGCATGGGATTCATGGATTATACTGGCTATATAGTGTTGATATACCTGCCTCTTATCTTCAATCTGGAAGAAACACAATGTTTCTGCAACAGTCAAGCCCGTCAAGCCCTTTCAGTGGAGTCATGTATGACTACCTCCGTTTAGAAGGACCGCCAAGAAGCTCTTGAGATAGTGACCTAATCAATAGTTTTAGTTTTCCTGTTTTCATAGAAGTTTTAAGTTTTTGATTTGAATTTTTAATTGAGACCAAATTATAGGGGTATTAATTCAACATTATTTTTAGGTTTAAGAATATAGTTTCAATTTTTTACTTGTAATGGTTTTAGTCCTGATTACTTAATTCTATTGTCGGACCAAAAAAAAAAGTTTGTTGAATTTTCTGCTTCAGAATCTTTTATTTAGAATAATAGATGTTTAATGTCTCAACCAATAGCTCTATATAAAAAGCTTTGTGGATGGACATTGATTGATAAAGGAAAATCATCCTTGGTGGCAAGAATTTAGGGTTAGGTTCAATACAATCCAATAAGTTGGATCGGAGATAATGGGTCCGGGTTATAAGCAAAGTTGATTCATCGAAACAAGTCAATACGATCTGGGTCATACATTCCAGACATCCTAATTTGAAATATTTATTTTCTTTTTGTTATTTTGCTTCTCGTATTAAATTTGAGTTTTACGGTTGGTTTATTGTTTATTTTCTCTTTTTAACATATCACATAGCTCGTTGCCGGCCCCCTCAAGTATCACTAGCTTGTGTTTTGGAGGTGTTATTAAGCTAAGAAATGCATCTATATATGAAAATGCAATTTTCATCTATCGACTTAAAATGTTCATAGAAAAATATTGATGCAGCTATTCAAAAACTTAATCAATTAATTATGTGCATAATCCATCCTATGGTTTACAAACTGGTTCTGAAATGGTTTTAACATTTATACTTAAAAAGTCCATCAAGATGATGGATGAAAACAACTAATAATAGACAATTTTTATTNCCATCCTATGGTTTACAAACTGGTTCTGAAATGGTTTTAACATTTATACGGAAGTGGTGTTAAAAAGTCCATCAAGATGATGGATGAAAACAACTAATAATAGACAATTTTTATTCATACCAAATAATAAATATATAATTCTTGTGATATCAGATTTTTTAGTCGGTTGATTTCTGCAATTAGATATTTGGATTCACTCGCTACAGTCAAATCAAGCCTAACAACACTGCCCCAGTTATACCTGCATATACATATACACAATATTAGTAGAAGGCGGTTGTACATTGACATATATGTATCAATGATTTTAGGTTTATTAAGAATCAGTACTATTACTTGGATATAATTTATCGACATAATTAGTTGTTATCAACAATGCTTGCTAAATGCATNACATATTTGGATTCACACGCTACAGTCAAATCAAGCCTAACAACACTGCCCCAGTTATACCTGCATATACATATACACAATATTAGTAGAAGGTAGTTGTACATTGACATATATGTATCAATGATTTTAGGTTTATTAAGAATCAGTACTATTATTTGGATATAATTTATCGACATAATTAGTTGTTATCAACAATGCTTGCTAAATGCATATAAGATGAAAATTGATAGCGTTCTACGGGAACTTATTTCACTATTTATCTTCACTTCAAAGCGGGAAGCATTACAAGAATAAGAGTCTTTTGTGACAAATTTTTTATAATAGCTATGTTTACTGTCAAAAAACGTATTTGAGACAATTTTTTGTAGCAGCCGTGTTTGCCGTCACAAAAAACGTGTTTGTGTTAATATTTGTGGCAGCTATTTTTTCTGTCGTAAATAGTGTCATAANGGGTCTTTGTGACAAATTTTTTATAATAGTTATGTTTGTTGTCACAAAAAATGTATTTGAGACAATTTTTTGTGGCGGCCGTGTTTGCCGTCATAAAAAACGTATTTGTGTTAATATTTGTGGCAGCTATTTTTTCTGTCGTAAATAGTGTCATAAACTCAAAAAAAAAATTGTATTTGAGACTGCTATTTTTCTTGTCTCAAATAATATTTTATAAATTCAAAAGAATTTTTTATATTTATTACAGCTACTTTTCCCGTCGTATATAATATTTCATAAAACATTAAAATGTTGTTCTAGATTAAAAAATATTTTATAGTTTAAAGAAGAAAAANAATTTGTATTTGAGACTGCTATTTTTCCTGTCTCAAATAATATTTTATAAATTCAAAATAATTTTTTATATTTATGACAACTATTTTTTCCGTCGTATATAATATTTCATAAAACATTAAAATGTTGTTCTAGATTAAAAAATATTTTATAGTTTAAAGAAGAAAAACTCTAAAAAAAATTTGTATTTGTCACAACTATTTTTTATGTTACAAGTAATATTTTATAAAATTACGTAATTTAACATCAAAAGACAATTTCTAGTTCAAAGAAAAAAAAAATTAAACTCTACAAAGTCAATTTTAATATCAAAACTAGGGGTGTCAAAATATGACACGACCCGTTAACACGATATAAAATTAGTGAGTTTGAGTTTTTCTTAAATCACCTGTTTTCCCTTGCACCGTCGAGGTTCCACCAAAAAAAAAATAATAAACCACCTGTTTAGTCAACAAGTGGACCCGTCACGATACGATTATAAATGAATCAGGTATTAGTGAAATCAGTTAGAAGAAATGTATACGATATGATCTGTTTATATACCATTTACATAATTAGACAAAACGTTTAAAGAAATATTTGTGTGGCCCTCTGCTGATGTATATTCTAACTTGTTTTAGTTATTTATTGTATATATGTATATAAATTTTATTTCAGTATTGTAACAATAATTTTATATTTTTTTCAGATGTCATTGAGAGAGTAGATGGTTCGAGAAGGATATTCAACTTTTTGCATTAATTTCTTGTACTCATAGATCGTTATGTTTTATAAAAGTGTATATTTTACATTTTGTTTCACTCGTGAGATTGTTTTTTTTTGGATATAAAAATATTGTTATGTTTTTGGAAATGTTGATTATATTTAGTTTTGTGTTTATCTATATATTAAATTCGGTAGTTGTATGGATACGAATGAGTCTTTGGTTTAATGGTATTTCTTACATTGTGAAAGCTTTGTTTTCTTGAGGTCAAGGGTTCAAGTCTCCTTCTCTCCTCCCCCACCAAAAAAAAAAAATTGTATGGAGTGTATATATGCACAGGATATATAATATGGGTTACGAACGATCCATAATAATTCAATTTTTTTTTTTTGTAGCGGCATCGTTGCTGTCATAAATATATCTTCTATTTTTTACGATAGCCAAATATGGTATTTGAGGCAACACTTTTGCCACCGTGATAAAAATAAAAGTGTCGGATTTTTTGTGACAACTTATTTACGACAGAATCTTGCTGTCGTAAATACTATTTGAGACAGACCATTGCTGTCGTAAAAACCTTTTGAGACCACACTTATTATGGCGAGGTAATGTCGCTACAAAAAGTATTTGTGACGACAAATAGACTTTTTATGACAACATTTTACCGCCATAAAAACTTTTTTTTCTTGTATTGAAGTAAAGAACGGAAAACACCAAAGCTACTAAAGGGGTGTTTGGCAAATATGTGAGAGATATGATTGGTTTGGTTTCTTAGTCCAAACCAATCCAATGAAAACCCAAATCCGGGGGGATATAGACAGAATAATAATAAAGTAGTGTAATCCAATCCTTACTTTGAGAAGTAATTTTGTATATTATGGGACCCACAGAAAAATCATTATTTTTTGTGTTAATTCTCTTGCCTTTAGGTTAAATTATAATTTTACTCTTCACTCCTTTCCAATCCAAAGTCAATGTTGGGTGAGGCAATATTATTTATTTTGTCTACCTTTAATCTTCATTCCAATTTTCATATATGTTACCAAGTGTACAAATCGAAAACAATTTGGTTTTAATGTTTGCAATACCCAAAATTTTTTTATCAAATTAATTTGCTCATAAAATTGTCACATATTGTTTTAAAAAAAAAAAAATAACCGATCTACACGAATCAATAAACACCTAAACATATTTTATTACCACAAACAACCTTATACAAAAGATGAAGCAAAAATAAGGCAACTTACTACGTAATTACACGTATTCGATATGTTTATATTCTTTGTTGCCTTCAAGTATACATACAAAACGAAAGCAACAGTAGGAGGTACAATGCGTGAAGCTATATGCACACACGTTATTCTGTGTTGCATTCCAAAAAATGGGTAAACATACTTACCCAACTGCAATATAAGCATAATCCAAATATAAGGAACCAAATTCCAACAATTAATTCAATTGACAATAGATCCCAATATATTTTAAGATCCATAACCAATGCAATAAATTATGCATTTTGTATATTTTAAGATCCCAATATATTTTGTATTAATAAATTATGTCAATAAATTATATTAACAAACTAGATCAGAATTATACTATTAAATTTAAAACAAAAAAAAAATAGATGACTTCTTCAAATAACATACGAAACAAAAAATAATCATTTCATTTCCTTGCCATCAGGAGACCTCCTTGAAGATTTAACTATGTAATCTTTTCATCAATTTTTCAAACATCACAAAATAAGTACAGGTAAAAAAATTTCAGTGGATTAAATGGCGATCTCTAACCCACGAGTGCAAATTCCAATAGCATAATGCAACTCTATTGAGAATTTTTCGATGTAGATGGAGATCGTGTGTTGGGTTTCAAGTAGAAGGGTGCCACAGGGATATATATATAAAGAGAGAGAGAGAGAGAGAAATACCTTCCAATGGGGATCAGTGGGCGTCGCTTGCAGGAAAGAAGGACCAATGAGAGGTTTAGAGGAAGTCAAAAATGAGGGGTAAAAACCCTACATTTAGTACTGTAGAAGGGTATTTTAGTAAATGACAGGCCAATCCGGTAACTGGGTTTCATAATCCCAAAGTTACAATGGGATATACGGAAGTGGGTCAGATGGGATATAGAAGGGAAAAAGCGAATTCGGCCCAATGAATATCCCATTGAAAAAAATCTTGCCAAACCAGGGATTTGTGGGCCACCGAATTATGGTACCCAATCCAACTAGGGGTTATCCCACTTTATCCCCTTTGCCAAACACACCCTAAATGGATTAGAGATATATACCATAATTTTGCCCAAATTTCGATTGTTCATCGTGAGTAGTTGTTGTATCTTCATTTAAGAGTTAATGGCACTTTTTGTTCCTAAAATATGTCCGTTTTGTCAATTTGATTCTCATTGTATTAATTTTATCAATTTGGTCTTTAATCAGATAATTCATTAAATTTTTTAACAGAAGTAATCACGTGTCATTCTTTCAAACAGTATCACATGATTATTTCATCAAACATTTATCGGTCCGTTAATATAGGAATCATTTAAAAAAAATTAAATATTTTAAAGATTAAATTGATAAAATTAATAATTTAGAGTCAAACTAATAAAATATACATATTTTAAGGACTAAAAATATTATTAACCCTTCGTCGAACGTAGACAAAAAATTTGATAGTACAATAAGAACACATTGGAAGAGGCATCCACCACCCACTACAACTTTTTTTTTTTTTTTTTTGTTTTGGCGTACAGCAATAAGTTACTATTACAATAGAGAAACAATGCATCTATAAAAGAAGAGAATGGACCCAAAAAACAGTGAAGATAATTCGAAAAGAGAGACAAGAATAGGAGAATCGTCTTGGATTTTTAGTGGCAACGTTGGAATCTCATCGGTAATTGATTTCACCCCAGGACGTCTTGCAATGAATTAGTGGCGATAAAAAAAAAAAAAAAAACGATGTCTCCAAAAAGAACATATAGCGATGACTTCTTTAAATTTCCAGGCAACAATTTTGTGGCCAAGTTCAATTTTTTGTTGTATTGTTAGAAATTAATGCTTGTCAAAGACAAAATTTGATACTCTGGCCTGCTAGTGATGACAATTTTGAAGTAATTAAAAGTAATCAACTAGGTCAGATTGGTTTGCTACAATTATAGCGAGTAAGTTCCTCTAAATTTCATTTAGAAACATTTTTTTTCTCCAATATTAAATTCTCTTAAAGTGTTTAATGTTAAATCACCCACTAAATTGGTGGAGTATTCACTAGGCAATTCAACATTGACTAATCAAATAAAATCAATCTACTACAAGGTTGCATCTGAATTCATCATAGTTAAAATTTAGCTTAGCAATGACCATTGACCAATGCAATGATTTAGTAATAATGAATCCAAAACTGCCCCAAAAAATTACTGGGAGGCTTTTCATAATAAACCTTAGTTGAAAATGACTTGCAACCCAACCAAATAGAACCTCCGACCTCTGACTTTTCTTACTCTTAGCTCATCTACAACCTCAGCCGATGCCTTATTCAACTATATATTCACATAGCTCCATAGCATTTTTAGCCCAAGTCCTTAAACACCCATCTCCCCCCCCCCCCCCCCCTCTCTCTCTTTCTCTCTCTCTCTCTCTCTCATGGCAAAATCGCCAGAGTTAGAGCACCCAGTGCAGACCTTTGGATGGGCAGCCAGAGACACATCTGGAGTACTTTCTCCATTCAAGTTCTCAAGAAGGTATTCTATTCTCATTGAGGATGTTTGAATCGTTTCTTATTGTTCATTTTATATAGGAATGCATTAGTTGCATTTTTGTTTGTTTCATTCATTGTTTAATATCATAATTCACAATAAGTACATATTGCTATATGTTATACATCCTGCCAACATCTTTTTCGTTGCCTTTTTGGTGGATGGCATACATTGAGGAACACTTAAATAAGTACATTATTTGAAATGTGATGTTTTCACTTGAGGGAAGTGGTCTATAATTTGATTTAGGATGTCGAAGATAATGATGTAGTAATGTGTTGGATATTATGGTGTAGGGCTACCGGTGATCACGATGTAACTTTCAAAATTTTGTATTGCGGGATCTGTCACACAGACTTACACAACATCAAGAACGATTGGGGCTTCGCTACTTATCCTCTTGTACCAGGGTACGACTACTTATCTCTTTCTCTCTCTCTTCCGATAATGAAAACTTTGACTACGTATATGTTACTTCAATTTGATATTTGCGTGGACTAGTTGATTGAAACAGGCATGAGCTTGTGGGCATAGTAACGGAGGTGGGTGGCAAGGTACACAAGTTCAAAATTGGAGACAAAGTTGGCGTAGGCTGTATGGTCGGGTCGTGTAACTCGTGTGATAGTTGTGCCAATGATCTCGAAAATTATTGTCCAAAAATGATACAAACCTACACTGGCATTTATCATGATGGAACCCCAACACAGGGAGGTTATTCGGACATAATGGTTGCTAATGAACAATTTGTGATTCGCTGGCCCGAAAACTTGCCCCTCGATGCTGGTGCTCCTCTTTTATGTGCTGGGATCACAACTTATAGCCCCTTGAAATACTTTGGACTTGACAAGCCTGGTATGCATGTGGGTGTAGTGGGTCTTGGTGGGTTAGGTCATGTAGCTGTGAAGTTTGCCAAGGCTTTTGGGGCTAAAGTGACTGTAGTTAGTACATCCCTTAGCAAGAAAGATGAAGCCATTAAACAACTTGGCGCTGACTCATTTTTGGTTAGTCGTGACCCTAATCAGATGCAGGTAATCTTTACTTAGGATTTTGTTTGTGAAGATTTTTATCAAGGATTTTTTTTGATAATGCTAAAACGTCGTTGTGTTGAACGTGATTAGATTGCGGTTGGGACCATGGATGGTATTATCGATACTGTCTCTGCAACTCACCCTATTCTGCCATTGATTAATCTATTGAACACTAATGGAAAACTTGTCATGGTTGGCGCACCAGCGAAACCGTTTGAGTTGCAAGTGTTTCCTTTGATTCTTGGTAAGTATTCAACGACACTAATGTTACAAACAAAGTAGTATATAAAATTTTATGGGTTAATCTCACTTTGTGCTATGTAACAGTCTTAACTTCCTAATTTTCACCCTAAAAGATTTTAATTCTCAAATTACATCTTCAATGTCATAAAAAAACTGCAATGTGACCTAGAGACGAATTGCCGTTTACATTTCTGTTTGAAAATGCAGTTTATTATCATATTTGTGTCACTTATTATAATGAAAAACTGGGCGACGCAGTTTGAGTTTGAATAATATTGTAGCTTTTTATGATATTGAGGGTGTAATTCGAGAATTGAAATCTTATAAGGTAAAATTTGAGAATTTGAATGATACAAACAGTGATTGTTTTGTTTGTGTTTGTGTGTGTGTGTGTGTACCCCAACATGCTAATATGAAATTTTGGCTAGCTAACGTCAAAACTGGAATGACAGGGAGAAAGATGTTGGCGGGCAGTATGATTGGAGGCATGAAAGAGACACAAGAGATGATTGATTTTGCAGCAAAACACAACATAACAGCAGATGTTGAGGTTATCTCTATGGACTACGTTAACACAGCAATGGAACGCCTTGCTAAAGCCGATGTTAGATATCGATTTGTTATCGACATAGGGAACACTCTCAAGTCTGCTTAGTTTGAGCCTTGTGATTCTTGCATTTTGATTTTGTTGCGAAAATGTTTGCTTGTTGGGTGAGAACTTACACTAAGTATGATATGTTTGTCGTGAGTTCTTGTAATGTTTCTTGGTTTCTTATTGGTATTTGGAACGTGTTTTCTCCACAATTGGCACTGTCTTTGCATAGAATGATGTCTTTTAACTGGGTGACCTCAATTTGATAGTCTATTTTGTACTACAGAATTTCCCATTTTTACTGATAATTTAGGCTATATGCCTTTCTAACATGATCCTAAATCTTAATCCTAAGTCTAGATTATTTTTCAATTATTTCATTAACAACTCTCTATATCTATACAACTCATAAATGTCAACATCTATAAAAAAACTTTTGATTTTCTGTTTTATCTCAAATTATTATAATAAAGTCAATTATACTGAACTATATACTTTCATCTATTTTTTTTTTAAACCTATTTAACTTTTAACTTATTTTGAACTCTTTTATAAAGACTTTTAAATTTTTTTGAATTCATCTATTAGTAGTACATGCAGTTGCATATAATTATCTATATTTATATGAACAAGTAAAGTCTTATACGACCAAATATATATTATATTTTTATTTTTTAGTATGTAATAATATAATAAAATTATAAATGATTTAATCAATATATTTAACAAAAAAAAATTAATCTATATAATAAAGTAGAACGAATTTGAATTCAGGAGACAAAGAGAGGTCTAGATCGTTTCCTGACAAAAAAGGACATCATCCAACGATCAACGATATCCCAAACTGTCTCGAGCTATTGACGTCTCAGATCGTTTTAATCCGACGTACCACATTTACCGTAATTTATTTTATAGATTTACTTTCCAAAATTTATTGTCTAAATTTTTTATTTTAATTAACTGCCCAGTTTAAAATTTATAAAGTTTCTGTCTTTCCCTCTCTCTATCTCTCCAAAATTCATTGCCTCATTTATTTCTCACTCAATTCACACGATTTTTGCTTTCACAGAGATATTGTTTCTCTCCCTAATTTCCCACCCAACTCATAGCTTCCCAAAATCATACCCAAGATCCCTAAAATTGGCTTTCCAAATTTGATGCAAATCTAAAAAAAAATCCACCCAATTTATGCCCTAATGGCTTCCCAAAACCAGAGTCAAGAACCTTCAGCCGCTTCACATGGTCTCCCTCCCTGCCTGCTTGGGTCTCTCTCCCTTCAGTCGTTGCTGCCTCCTTCTTCCCAGATATGTTCTCTACTCCCCCCAACGTCCCCCTTCTGTCTGTCGGTCCCTACTCCCCAACGTCCCCCCTCCTTCTCCCTTCAGAGTCAACGTCCCCCCCCCCTAAGTTTTTATAGTCTTTGTTTTGGCATTTGCTCTTTAACTTTCTCTCTCATTGGGAAGGAAAATTGATAAGGGAAGACAGTGGTGGGTGACTAGGTGAGGTTGAGAGTCTGTACAATATGTGATCTTGAACAAGT